AATATTCCAATCCCTTTCTATGCTTATTAGCTTGTTGGATATTAAAAACAGTTCCAAACATTTACTGATCCCTAGAACCCTATCCTTTATTATATAATTTTATTGTATTTGGTGTCCTCTTTCTTATTCTTGACTCAATAATGTGACTTGAGATGCTAAGTCATTGTCTAAATAACAGAAACTATGACTAGATAGAATCATATCCAAAAGAATTTTGGTTTATGGAATAGCTTCAAAGTAAAGAGGATCTCAGTATTTTTGAAAGAACTATAGAGGCAAAAGCATGAGCAGCTTGAACTGAAAGAAGCCAAGACTATTAAAATATAAAATGCATCTTGGAATTGTCTTATTGAAACTTTCTAAGAGTGAGAAAGAGGCTTAGAGAGCTACTCAGATGCCCAAGAGGGCCATTTCTTTAAAGTAGAGAGGAATTATTTCTGGATAGGCAGAAATAATTGCATCAAAAAGGCCATGCTTCCAAAATTGATATACAGATTTAATGCAGAATTTGTTATATTTTTAACAGAAATGGAGAAAACAACTCAAAATACATTTGGAATCAGAAGATAACACAATAGTGAAAACAACCCTGGATAATGGGAGCAAAATGAGAGATGTCACAATTTCAGCTTGAAGTTGTATTACAAAGTTGCTGTGATAAAAACAGCATGATACTGGTACAAAAATAGACATGAGGGTGGGCCAATGAGAATACAGAATGCAGAAAAAACTTCAACTACATTAATCTTATTGTCTTTGACAATGGGACCAAAATCATACTGAAAGGCAGATAGTCTCTTCAAAGAATTGTTTTGGAAAAATTCACTGTACACATACCAGATTGAGTCTAGACCTCGCTCTCATCTTTCACTGTTACCCAAACTAAAATCAAAGTGAATGATAGAATTATACATTAAACCAGAAACACTTAACCTGCTGGAAGACAAGATAAGAGAAAATCTTGGTCATAAGCTTAGGCAAGGACTTTCTCAATAGATCTCAGCTATATAAGAAATAGTTATGAAAAACAAGAAATAGAAACATATTAAAATAAAATTCTTCTGCACCTCACAACTAAGTGAAAAGACAATCTATAAAATAGGTAAAAGATTTCTGCCACCTACTCCTCAGATAGAGGAGTTCATATCTAGAGGGTTCATATCTAGGGTTCTAATCTAGAGGGTTCATATCTAGACTATGCAAAGAAATCCAACTATTAGACCTCTCAAAAATAAGTGCCAATTAAAAATGGGCAAGAAACAAAGCACTTGTCAAGAAGAAGTATAAATAATCAATAAATAAATGAAGAAATGTCCAACATTGCTGGCCATTAGAGAAATGTGAATTGAAACAACACTGAGATTCCATCTCACCCCAGGAAGAAAGGCCATTAGCAAGAAATCAATAACAAGGGCTGAAGAGGCTATGCAGAAAAAGGACCCCTTTTATACAGCGAGTGGGAACACAAACTAGCAAAATCATTATGTAAATAGGTATAGGGATTCCTTATAAAACCAACACTATGAATTCTGAATAACCCAACTATTCACATTCTAGGCACCTTCCTATAAAAAGTTAAAGACATCACATTGTACAGATACATGCATATCCATGTTTGTACCAGTGCAATCTATAATAGCTAAATCTTTGAATCAGTTTATATGTCACTCAACAGGTGAAAGGATAAAGAAAATGTGTTTATATGCCATGCCTAGCACACGGGCATGTGTGTCTGCGCACGTGTGTGAGTTACCAGGGTGTTTGTCGGTCTGTGTACAGGTCACTTTGCATGTTCTATACATGTGTGTCTGTGTATGTGTCCCCAAAACTGTGTGTAGTTTTGGTCCTCTCATTGCATCAAAGCTAAAAATTGCATTTCCCTTTTGTGAAGTCCCTTTGATTAAATCACACCCATAACAGTAACTCATGATAGTCACAATATGTCAAGGTCTTTAATCACATCTGTCAAATCCCTTTTTCCAAATAAGGGTTAGTAGATTAGAATTTATATATTTTTGAAGGGCATTCTTCAGTATATTATGGTTCTCTATTACATATTTAAATGAAAAACTGATAAATGTTTTCATAATTAAAATATCTTAGAGTTCTATCTTATAATCAAGTATCTTGAATAATCAAAATTACAAGAAATATATTTAACATTTCCTTTGACATACTCTTTATCATTGCAATGAAAAATATATGTCTAGCACTTAACAGAGGATCAACATTTTTTAACAACTATTTGACATTTTGAAGGTTTAAAATATTTTCAAAATAAAAATACACATTTTAGGTTGCATTTAACGAATGCTCTGTTCTATGAAAATCCTTATCAATTTCAGATGTAGTCATGTGGCTACCATTTGATGCCGGTTTCTGACACAAAAGGAATGGTACAGTACACACTATCTGCAAGTTTTCAGAAGTTTAAACTGGAAATAGTTTTAGTGTCCGAAGCTGCAGCATTAGATACAAGTTTTCAATTCATAGATGGTAGGGGGAATCATGGGTAAAAAAGAAGAGTCCAGAATTAGGACAGAATATCAAAGAACATACTAGAACAATGCTTTTCAAATATTTGATGGGCTACATTTAATATTTTTATTTTTAATAATGTGTTTTAGAAAATTTATAAGACATATAAGTAAGTTAGTGGCCAACATAAAATTAAAATATATGTGTTAAATATTAAATTCCATAGCCATAGGAAAGAAGAGACATGTGCAGTTCAGAAAAGGTAGAAAATCTCATATTTTATTTCAAACAATACATTAATAAAAGTTATGAGCAAAGTGCTGACTTTCTATGGTAAATCCCTACACAAATACTTCTATGGTGTGATTGGAAAATACAGTGAATGCTTAAATTTTAAACAAATTATTATAATAAAGTACACACCGTGACTAATATCTTTCAAAATATTCCCTATCTTTTTTAAAACACTTCTTCATAGTTCTAAAGCAGTCCTGGAAGTCCTCTTTCATGAATGTTTTTAGTTGTGCAGTTGTGGCCAAATCAATGTTCTGGATCCATGCAAAATGTTTATATTTTACGCTCACTTTAACTTTAGGAAACACTAGAAGTTGCGTGATGCCAGATCCAGCACATATGGCGGCTGAAGCTGCGATGTAAAGATTTACAAGGCTACCTTTCCATTGAATGGTGCTGGGCAGCAATAACTCCACGAGCATTCATTCCATTTTTTCTTGTTTGTTTGTTTTATCTCTTGAAGATACTCAGGAAAAAGGACTTCCCCAACTCATTCAGAAAGTGGTCAAAATAGTGAAATTAGTGCAATCAAAGCAAGCGAAAAAGCAATGGCAATGTGCCTTTTACTGCATTGTTTTTTGTTTGTTTTTTAGTGAAACACTCATTATGTATGCTGATCACTCCCTTGTATTAGTACTTGAAGACTGTTATGTGATTGGCCCTTACCCTCTCACTTATTAAGCCTCGGTAAAACAACAAAAGCAGTGCTTGCATGAACCAAAATATCTAAATAATGTTTGTGTTTTTCTTTAACAACGTGGATGGGAAACCAGTCATAGAAAGATTTGTGAACTGAGTGAAAGGCAAAATTCTTAGTATTTATAAACAATATCAGAATGTTCTTTTTTAAATTGTATTGAATAATGTAAGGTATGTTGATTTTCAAATTTCATCTTTAATCACTTACCGGAATTCCAACAATTTATCTTATAAAACAACAAATATATTTAAATTATTTTGATTGAAGAAATGAGGATTATACTCAACAGTAAGGGGGTTGTATTCTTTTGGAAAACACAAAAGTTGCTATAGAATTCTTAGCTTGTCAAATATGTAATATTGACACTTATCTTTAATTGATAATTAGTCTTAAATTTAAAAACCTATGGAAATAGTTCTTTCAGGCTTCTAACTTTTGTTTTTGCTCTTTTATTTTTATATGTTATTTTATTTCCTATTCCTTCTTCATAAGCAAATTTAAAAGCATTATAAGTGCTTGATATGCTCAGATGTCTAATTTATATCTCTGAAAAACTAGTACCAAGTCAATTTTCATTTTGTAAAAATCCTAAACATTTAGTATTTCAAGTGTTTTGGGTTTTGGAGACCATAATGCTATTCTTTATTTTTTATTAGTGTATGTTTGTAGTATATAATGCTTCCATACATGTCAGAAAGTAAGTACACGTACCTAACATATATTTTTATTCTCTTTCCCTAGTCCCTGTCCCTTTTTGTCTCTCACTCTATATCAGTATTCCATGTCTTGATTTTCTTCTATTTTTCTTTTGGTTCGTGCTTGTGACCCCTGATGATTATGTTCACTGTGGGTAGCCAGTACATGTACATGAATCATCTTAATTCTATTTAAGCCCTCTTCCCCTGTCTCCCCTCACCGAACTTTGGATTCTTAACTCTAACCTACATTAATAATTGTTTATGATAAATTCCCATATCATTACAAAATAAGTTCAACTTAAATGATTTAGCTTTACTGTGATTAACAAATGCTATTGTGTTAGTATATGTATTTTTTCCACAGTAAATCTCTCCATGAAGGAAGTAGTACATTGACGCATCCTGGAAGAGGTTCGCTTTCAGTGTGCTTAACTCCACGACCTTTCTGAGATCACAGCTGCAGCCTCCAAATGCACTCTTACAGTCTGAAGCCTCAAACCGCATTTTAAAACTGTATAATCTTTTATAGTCTTAAGTTTGAAATGTATTTTGAGCAATGAAACCAAAAGACAATTCCTTCTTTCTTTTCCCTTATGTTAAAATCATTCATGCATTTCAGGAATTATCATGTGAGTCACATCTGAGTGTTTGCATGGAAATGTGAGAGCTCTGTTCTTTGAGATGGTTCTTCCTATCATTAGCCTGTTCTGGAATAGGCCTGGAATACACCAAAGGCAAAAGGAATCCCTTAATTCTTTTGTATTCTAGAAAAGTATCTTAGTGAAAAGAATTGTTCTTGTCTGATTTAGATAAGAATCGCGGATACCCACCTCCTTTTAAGTTAGCAGATGTAGACATCTCACGTTCTCATTCCTTTTCCCGTGCTTGATTATACGCACTGGGCAAAATTCCTGCTAACATAAAAGTATCAAACTTTAGGGAAGCTTCTTGCCTCTCTCCAGGATCCCTAGCTTTTATCCATTTTACCTGGAGCCATCATCAAAATGTGGAGCAACCTTCCAAATAGCAGCTGACCACAAGACATTCCCCTGGATCCACTGCAGTTACGCCATCTGCTCATCCCACTTGCCTTATCTGATTCTTTCCTGCCTTGTTCTTTCCTCCCAAGTTAGGTACATAGATAAATAGATGGTAGGTAGGTAGAAAGATAGGTGATAGATACATAGTAATAATATATATATATAATAGTAATAATATGTAAGTAATCAAAAATGTAGATGACGTGATAGAAGATTGATAGGTACATGAAAAGAGAAAAAGACAGACAGATGATTAATAGGTCCCTTTATGCCTGACATTTGAGACTCTTGCAGATTTTGGGCTCAGAAGTCTACCTCTTGAAGTAAAACCCTACATCCTTTTGTGATTAATAAATATTATTCTTTTGTCCCTGTTCTCCCATTACAATTATCCTTTCAATAAAACTTCTGTTTACTTAAGCTCAGATAATTTTTTTTCTCTCCCATTCTGCAAGTTTTAGAAAAAAATATTTTCAGTCAAGGAGGAATCTTCCATCATCCGTGAACTAAGACTGAACAAATAATACAAATCTCACTTCCTTATTATTATCTAATATTATTCACTTCTAAATTAAAAACCAGTCTCAATGAAAATCTAATGCAGACATAAGCAGTAAAAAACAAATGATAATTTTCTCCAACTCATGTCTTATTATTTATTTATTTATTTATTTGGTACCATGGATTGAATTTATGAACTCGCACTTAGCAGGCAAGCAGTTCAGCCACTGAGCTAAATCGCTGGTCCTTGTATATTTAGATTATATAGACTATAAAATATTACATGGTATATTGTGACCTCATTGTGCATAAGTGTCATTCCATAAAATAAATGCAAAATATGTGCTAAATCATGTAATGAGTCCACTGATGACATGTCGTTATGAAGTAGACTGTCATTTTACCTGGGTGCAATAGCTTGTCAATTTACTCTTCTCAATTTGTGTATTCTTTCATGCCAGAATTAATGCAGGCCAGTCCTGCGGGCCAGAGGCTAGAGCCCTCCCTCGAGTTCTAAGCCCTGGTGTTTGATTGTAAAGCAGTTTTGGTACTAGAGGCAACTTTGATATCTACTGCAGCAAAACTGAATGGAGACAATATGTTCCCTGTTGTTCAATTGCCCTCCCACCCTGCTGGTCCCCCCCGCAATGAAATGGGGAGTCTTTAATAAGACAGAAAGTGACAGTAAAGACAGCCGCATAAAGGTAGCATAAAGAGCACTGTTAAGTGCTTCCAGGTTCAATGATTGTTAAATGAATTTAATGGCTTTACCCACTTTTAAATTAATTTTCTAAATTTCCCATTATAAATTAATTTGAAAGAAAGTAAAATGAGTGCGAACTCTATATCTTTGAAGAGCAATGAGTGAATTCATGCTTAAACCCCTCTATGTCAGATCCATGTTGGAAACTGTTTTTCATATCTTCTCACAGTGTTTAACAAGGTTTTCACATGACATTGCTTCTTTCATAAGTGATAACTGAAGAGTATTTTTAAATAGCAAAGATAAAGAATTTGCTCACACTTTAAAGAAATCCTGATATCTAGTAATCACAGTAAACATTTTGTTATTTAAATGCTGAAAGATGGGTTCAAGAAGTTTAATATATTAGAGATACACATATGTATATTTCCAGTATATGAAATAAGTGTATGTATGGCTGATCTATTCCTAAAATATATAAACATTATTTTGGAAGAACATCAGTGTGTCGATGGAGTATATCTATATCAACAATTTCTAAATATCAACCAGGATCTTTATGTAGATATCAGCTTGGCAAAGCCAATTCTTGACTCCCTATCCACTTTTTCACCAAATGACAAATTCAGTGGTCACAATGGCACGGAGCTAATGTTTTTACTCCAGGCCTATCTGGATGCATTAAAATCAGCAAGCCGATATGAGGCCCACAAAATAGCCACCTTGAGCAAAATGGGATGAAAATTAGTATTAAAGTACATTCATGTAGGTTCACAACACAAGCCCTTTCCTTCCTCATAAACCTCCATTCAAAACCAAGGCACAGAACAAATGGTAACCCCATGAAAAATCTCTTATTTGTAGCGTGAGTTTCTTACTGATAAAAAGAGTAAAAAGCCATCCAGTATGATTCCCTCATAGCTGTGCTTACACATCATAGGTTTCATTCATTTCAAGCAAAACTGATGCAGACACCTCCAACGTACTAATTCTTCTTCCTTTAATACATAGTTGGCATGTATATCATCCTAAAATATTGTTAGATAAAGATTTTGCACAATGGCTTCTGCTTTGTTTCTGAGCATATTTATTATTAATATTACAATTCCATCGATAGTTTCTTCAGCTGTGTTTCACGCACAGAATGGAGCTATGAATGCTCCGACACTAGACTCGCACCCCATCAGAACTTCACATGACTCCAGTTCCTTTCTGTCAAAATATACAAGTTCCACAAGTTCTGTACCCCACCGCAAAAGACGATGAATCAGTCACAGAGGATGAGTCATTTGGAAATGGAAAAGGTTAAAGCAGAATATCTAGATTACAGAATATTTCCATCGCAACTAGGTGTTTAAATCACCTAGAAGTCTGTTTGACTGTAAACTGTACAGGCAGGAAAAACTCCATAGTTTTCAGCTTTTGTCAAGATTTACATAGGCATCTGGATCGTAAATGTAGCAGTGCTTTTTGCTGACTCCTCAGAAACATCAGAGGCTTTGAGCCCTTCTTTCCAGCCCTCTCTCTCTCCTTTGTCATCTCTTTCCTTTCTCTCATTTCTCTTAACATTTCTTCTCTTCCACCTTTTCCCTTTTTTGAGTGATCTTAGACTTTTCTACATGATTTTGAAATGGGTGTTTCTCCTTTACTCGTGTAGTTCAGGGAAGGGGAAAATTCACATCATACAAAGCCAGAGACTTCATAAGCAAGCAGAGGGAGCAAGTTGATTAATCCTGCAAGAAATAGTCCTGCCAGAGTTTTACGCCCCTGTTTGGCCGAAAATGAACTGGAGAACAGTGGTAAATGAATCTTCAGTCAAATGTAATTCAAATTTTTAGATATTCATAAATGTAATTCTTGCTTGCAATTTTTTTCCTGCTGCATATGTGAAATCATGACACTTGTAGATTGATTTGTTCCAGCATCTACAGATTTGCATTGCATATTTACCACTAGAGACCAGAGCACATTTTTTTAGTGATGTTATTTTGGCCTGTACTATTTACATTATTCTTTTTACCACCATTTATGAATTTGTGAACCTCATTTTAATCATGAGTCTATTTGGGAGAATTAAGGATAGAGTGTAACACAAACATAAAAGCAAAATTGTAAATTTGAGAATGATAGATGACACAAACTGTATCTTATTACCTATCTATTTGCAGACAAATGAACCAAAGCGGTCCTTAAAAGGACATGTGGGACCTGGAAGGACATAATAAATAATTGTATGAATAATGAGCTTTCCATGCAAATAAAATTAATCTTACATTTCATATTTATTTAGTGCTGTAAGAAAAATGGTTTAATGGATATTTTTTATTCCAAAAGGACAGCTTCCAGCATGACCTGAAACCATACTCTAATGATGCTCTGACTATCAAAGTATCATGTTCCTTCCCCCAAATTATTACCTCTAAATTCATTAGTCATTGGTCTTTTTTGTCTCATTCCTCAGAGACATATTTGTATACACACACATGCACACACACTAATTAGGAAATAAATTAGAAGGAACTCTGTGCCTTGACCTATTATCATAATCTAAAGCAATTAATAAAGAGCACAGGAGCATAAAAACTTATCTTGACCTTAGAGTGCTTATCTCAAAGAAACCAGATAAAGCACAGCAGTGGCTTTCATTTGCATACTACTGACATGGTCTCTACAGAATATGAAATGACTGCATGCTTAGTCAAGAGGAATCCTGTGTTATCTTAAGAGCACAAAGAAATTGAAAGAAAACACCATGCTACAGAAAAACAAATTATTGCTCACTACAACAGCAATCATATTGCATATCTATTTAGGGGAGATAATTCTGGAAAAATCCAAAATACAGCTCTTTGACACACACTCAGTGCTGTAATTAATAGTCATATATAATTATGAATAAACATTTTTGTTGGATTTTCTAGACATATTAGCTTTAGTTTCTTTTTTCTTGTAAAATATAAATGCTAGCATTTATATTGCTTAAATGCATATTACAGATCAAATAGGAAAATGTTTGTGAAATTTGAAACCTTGAAAGTAATTCCATAAATAAGCATTTTGATATAATAGATGTTGCTCAAATAAATGAATAACAGGTAATAGCTGAAAATAAACATGGTTATACAAGTTATTCCATAATTTATTATTTCTTAGAATAAGCTTAAATATATATTGAAGACCCTAGAGACAATTACTTTAAATAACATTGACCTAAGGTCATATACAGATCTTTACATAACTGCACATGACAAAATGGTATACATGCACATAGGTTGATTTAATTAGCATATATTGGAAACACGCAATGACTGACCACTAATTCTATTCTCTGTGCTGTGGGGTGGAGCATTACTGCTACATGCTCCTTAAATGTTCACTGCATAAAATTTATAGAAAGCAGAAAGAAGGGCAGCGTTTACTGAGTCCTGAGCATTTTGTTTTCTATTTCATCATTAATTTTAAATGTGATATTGAGTAAAATCCCTTATTTTAGAAAAAGAAATTTATGAGAAGACCAATTGCACAACATGAAACAATAGCAGAAAGTATTGTAGGAGCTGCCTTTCCAGCAAGAGTGATGAAAGCCGTCTTTGGTTGGTGCATATGAAAAGTCAGCAGTGTTCCTGAGGACTTGACTCAACAGCAAACAGTCCCTAGTTGAAGCTTGATTTTCATGCTTGAACAAGAATATTTCCAGATGTCATCACAAAAGAGAGAGGGTGAGTGTTTACATCTCCTAAGATAATCTTGGTGGTAGGTTTGGTTTCATCCATTTCCACCAGCTATGGAACATAAATTTGTTAGCACCTCTTTAAGACTGACAGAATTAAGAATTTTTATATCTACTATGATGTTAAAATGATGTCATCTGTCTTACAGTTCAGCTATTATGACAACTATTTCAGATATCTGTGAACAATATTTAAAAACCATATTTTAAAAATCCCTGACTGGTTTTATTTTAAAAATCTGGAGAATTTCTAAGATAATCAGTTCAAAGAACACATGATCTGAAAGCTGATATAATTTTTTAAATTAAAAAAAAACAGCATCAAAGAAAAAAGGAAAGGTAACTAAAAATTTTATATTTTCTGATCATGATAAAAGGATTGGATATATACATTCATCATATTTCTTTGTAAAATTTTACTTGAATCAGCTTTAACCGCTTCCGTAAAGACCATTGTTATACATATGCAGTCAGCAGTGTTCCTGAGGACTTCACTCAACAGCAAAGGGTCCCTTGTTTGCTCTTGTTTTTGTCATTTAATAGTTGGTAGAAAATTTCAAGATTCTTCACTAGTATCCACAAAAGAAACTGATAGAAGATGATGAGGACATTAAGCTGCACATGGAGGCACTGGACTGGGTAGTCTCTTCCTGATACTTGATCTAAGGACATGTAGAGGATGCTTCATCTAAGGATGCTTGATCTAAGGACATGTAAAGATCCAGACACAGTGGAGGATTTATGAGACTAAGAAAAGTGTTGAAATCTGGAAATCTGATTATGAGATAGAAATTAACCAAAGGCTAAAGAAAACATTTATGAACATCTGGGAAACTAGAAGTTCACACAGACAACCTATGGCTTTGCCTAGAATAAGCTACTTGATTTCCTCAAATCAAACATAATCTAAAAGGAAAGAGATATCATGAATTATTCCAAAGAAAGATGATTTCATACATCAAAGGCAGCATGTTAGGAGAAACACTGTAGGTTTTAAGGTCACTTAAAATCTGGATTTTAATTGATATTTTGCCAGTTACTGGCTGAATGAGCAAGCAATAGCAAATTACTTAACGTCCATGCCTAAATCAGAACTTTAAGAAACAAGAACAAGAACCTATGTTTAAGATTACGCTAGAAATAGTATAAAATAATAGACAAGTGTCTGGCACAGAACCCTACAAGTAACAAGAACCAATATTATTTCCTTTCTAGCTAGTCTCCTTTATTAACATAAAAATTATAGGAGCTAGATTACTTATGATTATCTTTCAATTTTCTAACTAAATGAGTTGGGCTAGTAAATGTGTCTCTATAATGTGTAACATTAAGTTTGAAGGTATGCTTTGTTTTTCACTCTGATTTTTGATATAATAAAAATAAAGAAATAATTGTGAGAACAGAGTCAGAGCAAGAAGTGTAGAGTGACCTGGGAGGACTCACATTTGGGGGCTCACAGCACTTCTGATAATCTGCATGAAGCTTTCCTCAGTCAACAGGACAGTTCTGGGCAGGATTTGGTTGAAAAGTGAGAGAGCACACAGGTAAGTAACTTGGCCATCGTCTCCCAACTGTTAAGTCACAGAGAACTGAGGTCAGTCATGTATGTCACCTACTTACCACACAAGTGATTGTGAAGAAATGGAGTGGTTTGTGAGAGGAAAGGATCATTCAATTATAAAGCAAGAATTATGCAGAGGAGAGTGAAGACACATGAACACATGCTGTGAGCAGATATTTAAGTGGCTTCCTAGCGTAATAAAGCTCACCGTCCTGGTAAGAACAGATAATAAGTAAACAAATCGCAAAGGGATAATTACGAAATCAATATAGCCTACGTCTAACAGCATGCTTTTTTCTATTTTTGTGAAACTATAGCAAGAAAAGTCCATGATAATTCATCGTACATCCTAACACACTTCAGCCACAGATTAAAAGCCATCATGCCAGTCACTCTGACTCCAGACAGAGAGCGAAGAAATCCTCCGTGGTCCCCATGGGTTCACAGAAGTCTGTCCATCACGCTGTCAGCCTTTCGGATCATTATTCAAGTCGCTATCCCAAATTTTGCTAGATACATCAGATTTGCGCCTGCTACATAGGTAATTTGTCTCCCTCATGGTTTTGGAATTTGTTTGTTTTTTAAAAATTACCTTTGGGAAAATAAGCTACTTAGAAGATCTGAGAGCCATAGTAATAATGTCAATCACTATTTGTGGGTTTCTATGTTTATATGCATGAACTTGCTATGTATATGTCTCTTTACTTGACAATTTCCTTATTTTTACTATACAAGGAATTTAAAGTTATATATAAAACAGTTAGTACTAGTTAACTGTAAATATAATAATTTATTATATTTCTATTAATATGATTGTATGTTTGTCTATTTCAAAGATCTTTATGGGCAGAGAAAAATAAGTCTACATGGTTCCAAGTTGATGGAGAAGTTTAGCAATTACCTAAGCATTTGATCGATGAAGACCAACAACCTGGAAAATGTAAATATTTTCCAAAATGAAATCAACGAAACCAGGAAAATATAGTACATTGAATAAAGCAAGGCTGGTGCTTTTGTGTATTTTCAAAGGAAATTTAATATTTTATTCATTGAAACTTATGCATACATGTAGGGTAGTATATTTATCATGGATACACATAAAAGACCCATTCTCTGCTTTTAAATAAAATAAGTAAATAAGTAAATGACAAAGTGTAGAAGTGTAATGTTGGAGGGGATTCCTAACTGCACAAGATATAGAAACTATGGAATACAAATTTTAGAATGACTTTCTGAAAAATGGAGAAATTAAATACTATAGTAAAGTTTAAGAAGTGAGGAAAAAGAGGATAGCATTGTAGACGAAGTTGTCACCCATGAAAAAGAACACAAATGTAGAGAAGTTCATCAACATTTTAGTATTTCCTACCAAATTTATTTTCATGAAAGGTAAAAATTCCTATGGATTTATTGATGCATTTCTAGTACCCAGATCAGTGCCTGATACATAGAAACTGAAGTCTTAATGAATGGTTGACTTTATAATTAGATGATAACGTACAAGTCAGAAAAAAGGTAAGACAGGAACACAGACAGATCACCATGAATCTTCAAGTGTTCCTTAGTTATAACGGTGCTGCTTTGTCTGTTTAGTCTCTGTTAGCCCTTTCTCAGCTCTGGGAAATCTGTGCTAACACAGTGACCCCTCAGTAGGACTCCTATTTATATTTTGTCCTGGACTTGTCTTTGCAATGTGGACTTTTTGATGCAGTTTGCCATCATGACCTCTCTTATAGCCCTTTGTGTTGGGATATGTCTGTGATGATAGCAATTTAACTTCTTCATGAGAGAAAACTTTTCAGGTGTCTCTTTTCCACGGGCTGTGTCACACTGGGAAGATCACTGCTTAATGGTCATTGGAATTTGAAGCTTTAAGTTCACAACTCAGATCACATCCAGATCAGTCTTACAATCTTAAAATAGTTGTCTTTGAAATGTGCAAATCACAATTGTGAATAAAAATTAATTAAAGTAATAAAAGAAAAAGAAGCTGTACAAATTTCAAGACATGTCACAGTGTAAGGAGTTACCAATTAATTAACCCTTCCAAGTTCTTGAAACTAAGATATTAAGTAATATGAAAAGTTCATATTATTGCTGCTGTTATAGAAATAAAATTGAGGGATAGATAAGCATTTTTAGCATCTTTTAGATTGTATTACCTAAATTAAATCTGACCTAAAACTAAAACCACAGGAATATTGACGATTATGATTTACTTTCAAACAACTCAATATCTTTGAACCTTAATCCGATCCAGAAGAGATGATAGCTTTTAACCACTGCATGGCTATTTCCCCCCTAACTACTGCATGGCTTTTTTTCTTCTATCTACTGCACCAAATCATCCCAGGTAGGGATCATCATCATCCACACTTCATGTATGAAACTTGAGCATGTCTAATACATTGTCTCTAGCTCCATAATCTCTGGGCTTTCTAGCATACACTGATATTTTTTTTCTTCCTGGCCTTGATCAGTTACTAAATCTGAGAGAAAAATTATTGAAATATTTTCTTTACTCTAATAGTAACAACTACATAATAAGTACTCCCTTTTTCTTTTCACCTTTACCAAAGTAGAATAATATTTTCTGTGTGGGAAAAGACAGTAATTTGAATGTAGATTATGCTTAATTCATTAGTATCATACTATTAGTTTACATGTTCATTACTGGTCATTCAAATTAGACAAATACAAATTGGATGAACAAACCTACTGTCATTAAGTAGTGCCATTTTGTGGAGTGGTCTGACACGATGGAGAGCAGGACTTAACCTCTTGATGGCCAGAGGTGTGTGACATGGTCAGGAGAGAAGTCCAGTACTGACGTTACCATGGTTTCCTCTCGCAATATTCACAAACCTCAGCTTCCTCCAGTTGAGTATTCATTGTATGAAAGTATATGAATCTCCCTGTGTATTTTGGTGTTAAATCTAATATATTGCATTACAGATATTTTACCCTTTGAGAACATAATAACATCCAGTGTAAGTGATTATAAATTGGATTTCATATTATATTCAGTGCTGTCCTCATTAATTTCCTGTTTTCTAGATTAACAATGTGCATTCTTCTTATTTTCAAAGAAAGTAAACCAGAAACCTGATGACTAATATAAGGACACACTGAAAAGCATATTGTCATTATGGTAATAAAAAGAAGAGCTAATGTCCAAACTCTTCTTGATAAAATTCAATTTCTGGGTGTGACATTTTTTAGTTCCCTACATTAAGTATAAGGAAATGATCTTCATGTGACATTTTTAAATGAATTAAATATTCTCATTTAGATTATATACACTAAATTAAACATGTATATTCCTGGTAACTACAGATACTAACATGACTAACATACCTTTCTGACCTCCACAATACTGCAACCTATATCATGATATCAGTGAACTGGTAAGATCAACATAAAATAAAAAGAAGTGTAATAACTGATTTTCAGAAAAAGTGAGGAATCTTGACAAGATTGCCCTCCTTTTTTTTCCAAATTCTCTCCTTTCGATTGTGAGACAGCTGGGGATGGAGGTGTATCAGAGACAGAGGACGAGAAAGGAATTCAGTATTGAAGGCTTCATGGATAGGGACATAGAAAAATGCTGATTAATAAAATATTTAAAATATAATAAATCCTACGATCCAAGGAACACAGTCAGATATAAACACACATATTTTCTGTATTCATTTGGTGAGAAATAAAGTTACATTTCACATGAGCGCTTTGAGTCAGGGATAGCAGAATTATTTTAAAAGTTTTTCACAGTTTTTATCAGTAGTAAAACTATGAGATGAGCTCCACCACAATAACTTTATGCCACCATCAAAACTAGTGAAAATTAAGATGTTGTGCTGTCTTTCATAATGCTGGGTCTCATGTCTCCTAAATCCCCTTTACTAGGAAAGTAATGAAAAAAATTATGCAGAAGAAATGGGGAGTATTCTCCACAGACACAGAATTAATAGACACTATGCATACTAGTTTTATAATGCATACATATTACTAATGTGCACATAGACACATAGAGAATTATTTTTTAAGGAAAGTTGTCAAATAGTTGTTGAGACTGGCAAATATAAAATGCGTGGGTAAAGACACCAGACTGAAGCCCCAAATAGAACCAACATTGTGATTAAAGTCTGAAGGCAGTCAGCCAGCAGTAAATCCTCCTCCTCTTGCTATAAGGTTTGCCTTTTGTTCAAGTTTGATCTACAAATGATTGAATTTCGTCTGGTCCCATTATGCAGGGCAATTTTCTTTAACTGAACTTAACTGATTTCAAAGTATTTGTATTTGTAATATCCAGAATAATTTTTGTGCAGATATGTAAGCACCATAACTCAGCTGAGTTGATATGTAATATGCCAAGACATTTAATAAATCTTATCAAATATGATCTTTAATATATTTTATGTAGCATTTGTTGTATATTCTAGATGTTTATATGAAAGTATAAATATATAAAATTTGTATATAAATTATTTGTTTCACATAAAGCTTATTATAACATAACATTATTAAGTACTATTTTTATAAATAATGATCCCCCATGAAATTGGTAGATTTATTACCAATTTCATGTCATTGACAAAAGCATTTATGCTAATAGAATTAAGCAATTTTCCAAATGTTATACCCCCTTAGGGATCATAAAGACAATATTTAACAGTTTAGGTCCAGAATCTTTGTCTTAACCAGTAGTATATACATTACTTATTGCCATGCTTCTAGAGTGGGCCACAATTCTACAAAAGGCTACGATTTTGTTTTGGGCAAAAGAAGTCTTTTGATTTTTACAAATGTTAATTTAATGATCATAATAGAATTTTAGACCATAGTTTTGACAAATTCCTATTCCTTCAGAAGTCTGTGAGCCTCACTTCATGGCTCCCCAGGCCTTAATCCTCATAAGTAAAACAAGGTAGGTCCTGGCATTAAATCACAAACTCCAATGTCTTTATCTGTGTTTATTTTCTCATGGACACAGCCAAAATAATGTTTTGCCGGTTTCTAGGCATTTGCCCAACCTAATATGAGGTAAATAGTTTGAATAGAACTTAGAACACATGAATCCCTATCCTACTATTCAATATTGTATCACTCTTGCAGAGTTTCACTCCATTAACATGCTTGTTATTTTTAAGATTTTGTGGTGATCCATGCAATGTCTGAATTAATTGTCTATTAGTGCAAACTAGTAAGATTGTAAAATGGATGCTTCCTACATATTGCTGATCTATAGACAATGGGATGAAGTGATATGTAACACTGAATTTAAACTACATGATTACTTTCATTGGAAACTACAAATATAAAGCACTTTAAATCTCATGACCACTAAAGTTCATGACAGGCTAGAAAATTAGTAGACAGTGCACTTCAATTAACTAATAATGAAAAGAAGCCACAGTGAAATTTACTGCTATAAAAGAGATGAAGCAGGGAATGGATTGAAAAACAATTGAATTATGGAACATACATGTATAGCTCACTACAAAGAATCTGATCATTGTGTGCTGCAAACATATACTAATAAAAATAACAATTGAGAAAAAAATTTTAAAATATGAAGGCATTTTGCTCTGTACTTAAAAACAAAGCAAATAGATTCTAGATAGGAAAGTAATCACTGGAACCCTAATTAAAATTATAATGTAGAATGGTAAGTCTCTGAGGGAGAGAGAGACAGAGAGACAGAGACAGAGACAGAGAAGAGACAGAGACAGAGACAAAGAAGAAAGAGAGAGAGAGAGAGACAGAGAGAGAGAGAGAGAGAGAGAGAGAGAGAGAGGAGAGATTAAGTGTGGAGTAAAACATGAATGAGTGTTCCTTCACAAATGAGTGAAGGAACTTAGGAACTCTGGTTCCTAACTTAGGAGTTCCCCAAAATATAAAAAATGTATATGCAATATGTATGTTTTATTTTTCAAAACAGTAAAGTATATGGAGAGAAATTTTGACAAAATATTC